TCCATAATTCATGCTCACTGTACCAAATGCATTTATTTCCTTTAATTTTAGAGTGCTCCAGCCATTTTCACCCTGAACTATTCACCCACCGGAATTTACGCAGCCAACTAAAATCTTCTTTCACCTCTTCTTTTACAGCTCTTCCTCGCAACCTTCCATCCGTTGTGTCTTCGCGAGAAGAATTCATATCACAAGAAAAATGTGCAGAGTTGTTGCTCCTCTTCTTCCACCTCCTCCTCTTTCTTCTAGCTAGCTCTCCAGCATCCAAACACAATTGTTTGGCCTAATGGTATGGGAGGTATCGGGAGATAGGAAAGCACAATCCCATTGGACCCGAGCAGCTTCAAATACGCTGCGGGTTGTCATGCCTATGTGGAACAAAGATGGACAGCGGTTGGGCTGAAGGAGCACTTCAAGGCTTGCCAGTTGTGTAGTTTACTTTTGGGGAGGGTGCAATTCCAGGACAAGCCTATCTGGGGATCGTTAGCGCAGCCCTGATGACGCTATTTCCTGTGGTTAGTGGCACTAAACAGGTGTTGACGGCCGATCGATTACGGAGACGGGGTTTACCACATCCTGATCGGTGCGTCCTGTGTGATCAAGGTGACGAGACGATTGATCATCTCTTGGTCGCATGTCCGGAGTCGCGTCAACTGTGGTGGTTCGCACTCAGAGCAATTGGTTTGTCGGACATGCTGCCATTCAACGAACCCTCCTTCATCTCATGGCTTTGTGACAAGAGAATGAAGGTTGCCAAAGCTCAGCGACGAGGATTCGACACCATCACAGCCTTGATAGCTTGGACTATCTGGGAGGAGCGGAACAACAGGGTCTTCAACCAACAGCAAAAGACCTGGGTCGAAGTGGCAAAGGTTATGACGGCCGAGGCCGAGCTTTGGCGCTTAGCGAACGCGGCCATGCCGGAGCTACCTCTACTGACCACGGAGTGGCGGTCACAAAATTTAGTAGGAGATTAGGCCTTAGAACTTTTTATCCATCCGGTACCCTGTCCCCTTCTTTATTTTCATTTTCAAATCTCTATAAAATAAACTTTATTTCTCTTAATATAAAGATGCACAGCTTGCGTATTCCAAAAAAAAAAGAAAAACTCTTGAGGCTTTCGGTGTTTTACATTTCGAGGCCTAAACAGCAACCGAGTTGCTCAGGCATATTGAATTGATTTGGGGTAGGCAGTAGGCTCTAGATGATAGGGATTCTCAAGCATATGGTATCAACAACGCCGGCAACAACCTTATATGAAAAGCACGATATAGCTTGGGAGTATGGAACGATGTAGTAACAAGAAATCAATTCCATCATTCAGCTAGCTTGTTGATTGTTCAAAAGAAATAAATGACCAGAGGAGCTAGCAAATAAATTTATGTCAACCAAGGAAAGACAATCTGAAACGAAATTATCAACAGGATTGCATATTTCGGAATGCCAGAAAAAAAATCGGGAGGGGAGGGGGGAAGGGCGGGCCGGTGCGGAGAACCGATAGATCCGAAATTGCAGAAATTTTGGTCTGAAATAATTTGAATGTGAATAGTTATTGCAAATTCACAAAAAAAATAAAGGAAATATACATGATTATCAACGTAAATACAAAGTTGGTCGATATGCCTTAATGAATGCATCGATGTTTTTTCATCATCTCACTAATTAAATTACTTTGCTCTTCCATGTAACAGTCTCTGCTCGTTTTAGATACAACTAACAAGTTATAGAAAAATGAATGAAGCAAAAAAAAAATAAATCATGAGTAAAACTTATATATATATATATATATATATATATATATATATATATATATATATATATATATATGTTCTTAATGGTTTAAAAACCAATGGTGAAAAATAAAACTATAATAAAAAAACAAAATCAATCATAAAGTTATGTTTTAAAATTTAATTTTCGATCTTGACTAATAACCTAAGCGGACGAGTCGAGAAATCCTGATACGGAGATGGCAATCTCCCATGGCCTCCTCTCCTCTCTGTCCTCATGTCCCAATCGATGATGTTCCCGGGTTTCAAGTTTAAGTCTGCCAGCGAAATGAACATAGCTCAAACTGATTAAGTTTCTTGTGATGGAATAAGCCCACCCGAATTTAAGTCATAGACTTTTACACAAATGCTTATATTTATGGATAATTATTCTTTCAGTTACAAGTGATGTATCCCTCAATAGTGAGGCGTCTATGTTAACTTCGTCAATCTCAAGATATGTCGGCTCAGTCTTCCGGAAGTGCTCATAGAGATAGGGTGTAAGTGTATGTTCATAGGAGTGAGTGAGCGTCTGCGGTTGTACTGTGTTTCTAAAAAAAAAGTTTAAGGCTGATAATCCATGCCCAAAAGAACTAGTTTGTACCATGTGATAGGTCATAAATATTTAATACTTTGGACAAAATTTAGGCGAACCCACCACCCACTCATCCACCAGACTTTGATCAGTGGCGACTTTGGCATGTCGAGTTGTTTTATGTTTGCCTTGTTTTATGTTTGCCTTGTTTATCTATAATGTTGCCTTTTGTGGATATTCTCGTCTATAATGTCAAACTAGAGTCCCACTTGTCCTTCCGTCTTGTTACTATAAAAACCTTTATGTGTGTCCTTCTAAGGGTCCATTTGGTACACCTCTAGCTTCCAACTCCAACTTAAGTTGGAGTTGTGTCAAACGGTATAGATTTTTATTTTTTTTTGGAGTAGAGTTAGCATAATTGCTTCACAAAATTGTACTACGGGGGTGGAACTGGGTGTTCCTTGCTCCTTCCTTCCTTCTTTTGGCTAAGCTACCTCCGGCGATCTAACCCAATCATCATCAGTTTGGAATGGGAGGGATCAGGAGAGGGAGAAGCACCACAGGGTTGTCTTGCACGAATCTCGGCTTTGTTATCGACTGTGGATGGTTTATAGGAAGAGATCGGAGATTCAACTTAAGAAGCATTTCCACAAGTTGATGATCAAGATCTTTCAAGGCAAGATGCCCATGTCACTCTGACTGAATTTCAGAGGGACCTTGAGTAGATTGTGGTGCATTCCATGGGGTGCTCTGAGAATGTAGCTGTGCACGCATTTGTGCTGCAGAAACATGGCCACTGAGATGCAGCTATAGCTATGCCCAGAAGCTCAGTGGTGCTAGGATAAGTTGGTGTAACTGTGCAGCAAAATGTAAATTTGCATTGTGCTTGCACAACATCAGGTGTTTCATGAAGTTGGAACATAAGCAGCAAAATGTAAATCTGTGCGAATTTGCGCAACATCAGGTGTTTCATGGGATGCAGCTACTGCTAGAGAAAACTGTTCTTTGTGCTGTTGTATCTTGTCTAGAATTTAATCTACTAGAAAATAGTGCACATCATAGTCTCTGTTCCTTCATTATGGTCATGCTGACGACAATTAGAATAAACCTTACTTTACCTTTTTTTTAGATAATGAAACCTTACTTTACTTAGTCCTGTAAAATTGAATATCATCACTGCAAGCATGAAGAAATGCTTCACTTGACTGGGCTTTCGTCTACCTGCTTGCAGTCTGAACAAGTGCAACTGCCTGCACAACTGCAATAACCTTGTCCATAATCCATCTCACTGTACCAAATGCATTGATTTCCTTTAATTTTACTCCAGATTTTAGAGTTATCCAGCCATTTTCACCCTGAACTATCCACCCACCCGAATTTACTCAGCCAACTAGTCCCCTTTCACCTCTTCATTTACAGTTTTTCCTTGCCATCCTTCCATCCGTCTTCGCAAGAAAATTCATGTCACAAGAGAGATGTGCACAGTTGTTGTTCGTCTTCCTCGTCATCCTCCTCTTCTTCTAGCTAGCTCTCCAGCATCCAAGCACAACTGTTTGGCCTAATGGCATGGGAGGTATCGGGAGATAGGAAAGCACAATCCCATTGGCCCCTGGCAGCTTCAAATACTTTCTCCGTTTCATATTATAAATCATTTGACTTTTTTCTACGAAAGGACATATAGTGTAGTGGTTGCAGTAATATGAGTAGCAACTCAAGGTCCTGAGTTCAAACAACTTATAATATGAAACGGAGGACGTCCGTTGCAAGTCCATGGTCATGCCTCTGTCGAACAAAGATGCCTCGATGGACAGCGGTTGGGTTAAAATAGAGCAACCGAGTTGTTCAAGCATCTTGAATAGTTTGCTTCCGGTCCTCCTGTCCCCTGCTGGTTTTTGGTTTTCCCTGCACAGACCCTTTTAATTCTCCTTAATACAAGAATACGCTCCTTGCGTATTCCCGAAAAAAAAAAAGACGGATCAATAAATAGTCTTACAAACTACCCACCATCCCTGTCTTTACAGTTTACATAGCTTCCATATATCTCAATATCTCATCTCACTCCCTTTATTTATACTTCCAGGTATTCCTTTCCATCTTTCACCTCCATTCCGTAGAAGGAAGGATTCATGTGTCTCGGTATGCAAGGGCTGTGCTGTGCAGGAGTGGTTGTCATTCTCCATCTAGACATCCTTGTTTCAGTTTAGCGTTGGAGGGAGGGATCAGGATTCAGGAGAGGGAGAAGAAGTCCTTCTCCACCTCGTCCTCTTTGGTTTTTAGTTTGGCATGGGAAGCACAAGGAAAAGGAGAAGCACGCAATTCTTCTCTTCCCGTAATCTCGGCTTTCTCATTAGCCGTGACTCCGGCCGTTCCAGCGGATAGCGATTCGGCTTAACACCCCTATCTGACCACTGAAGGTCCGGTGGTTTAAACGCGAGTTGAACAAGGAATTTAGATGGATTATGATGATACATTCTATGGGGTGCCCGGATACAGCAGCCGTGCGCAATTTGGTTTGGATGGATTGTGATACATTCCATGGTGTGTCCGGACACACAAGGTTGTTTGCTAAGAAATAGCTACTGTCGAAGCACCAACAGGGGAAGACAAGCTTCCCAAAATCAGTGTGGACTCGAGAAAAGGGGTCGCAATGAAGCTAAAGCACACAGGCAAATTTGAAATCACAAAAACAGGGGAAATTTTATGGAAAGAAAAACTTGAACATCTTTGATCAATCAATGTACACCATACAAACTCATCATATAGACTTTCCAGGACAGCTTTATGGAATCAGCACAAAATGAAAGTGAAACCCAAAGCTACAACTCCTGTGGTCATTGGAAGTAAGTAATCAATGGCGTACAACCTTCTTCCATTCCTTGTTCGCAAGGAAAAACGCAAACAGCCTTGAGCCCTTGAGTCGATTACAGGAAAAGAATACACAATCATGATTAGTAGGTTTTCAAGTGAAAACCACACCTCGAGCTTGGATTATCGAGATGCAGGCACCCAATGGTGGGCTGAGTGTGGTACAGAGCCGGATCGTATAAGACTGTTAGTAGAAACTCGTTTATCTGTATATTGCTACAAAATGTCAGGCTTGACATCGCTGTTCAGCTAAGAAATCCGAGGAATGTCTAGTCTCTATCTGTTGTATGCATGTGATCTGAACCACCGCTAGAATCCGCTCTTGCTGGAGAACCCTTGTACCTTACTATGTTTCTATAGAACCTGCAAGTGGAGTCAAGCAAATGTACTAAGATAATCTGGGATGTAAACAGTAACTGATTTTGCACAAGTCAGTTGAAAAATGGACTTGGGGAGGAAAGAGCTAATTACATATCCAACTCGTGTTCTTTTTTCTTGATTTCATGGGACCAAAGGGCAGGATCAACATTCTTAGGCAGGGACTCCTGGAGTTGTGACCTCTCCCTTAACCATTGTTCGGCTTTAGTGCACTCACTATCAACCTGGACAGAAACCGATAGTCAGAAACACAAGTCAGCCACAGCATTGTATCGCGATGCTTTACACAAGACAAATACAAACAAGTAAAGTTGGTTCCCAGTTAATACTTTGAGTATGTGTTTATTAGAATAGTTTCATTTTAAGACCATCAATTGTTTCCGCTCTAAAATCTATAGTTCTACACCTCATCATATGATCCAAAAGGTCTTATCTTCATTTTTTTTATCGTACATAGTTACGCATTCGTAAAATCTAATCTATGCGTGCGCACGGATTAGTCTTACGGCGCGACGCCTGCCGAAGCCGTCCAATTAAAGTCATCACGTACGCGCGTATGCATGCATACTTTTAAAATTTTATATCCACGCTTTTAGCCTGAGAGTCCAATGTAAGTCTTCCTAACTTATATAGTACTAGTCTATTTTAAATTTTTGATGACTTATATATTTCAAACCATGTATTATTTTTAAGATCCATTTTATTCATTGAACTCTACTCAAAATATATGATAAAATGAGTACAATATTGAATATATTAAAATATTTAAATGTAGTTTACGTAAATGGTAAAAGCAACTCAGCTCTACAATGGAAGTAACTTTTTATAGCATTAGAAGTGATTACGTATATATGTTAAAGCAAATATCTTCATAGGTAAAGTGTAGATTCACAAGTAAATACATGTTTTTTTTATTCAAGATAAACCATATATAGAGAGAGATTATTGTTTTTCGATAAAAACAATGTATTTCATATAGGAAGTAACTCTTTAGAAAATAGAAGTGACTATTCACAGCATTAGAAGTTACTACACTCCTAGAGGTAAGTAACACTGAAAAAAAATAGAACTAATTTTTCAAGGTGTTAGAAGTAACTTTTTTATGGTATTAAAATTAAAGGAGTTAAAGATAAGAATAAATTTTAAATAATCTGAATATATTTAATATTGGACTCGTTTTGTCATATATTTTAAGTAGACTATGATGGTTTGATCAAATCTTAAAAATAATATACGGTTTAAAAGATATAAACTATCAAAGGTTTTAAAACTACTAGTGCGATGTGCTATATTCTGGAGAATGTTAACCACATGGTGCTAATAAGTGGATGTGCACTGTATAGATACGTCCTTTTTTTTCCAGAAAGCTGTGCGTAGGTGGGCAGGGACGCGGTGTTTCTATTTTCGGTAAGTATGTTGAGTCACTGCTTAGGATTAAAGCGCTATTGCACTTGTTGTAGTCACGTCCTTACACATTATATATGTGCTGAACTGCTGAAATTTATGGAATCACATACAGATGTACTTAATCAGAGTGCACAAGAAAAGAAGGGTAATGGTTACAGAACTTACAGCCTCTTGCTCAGGTGTGGGTAATGATTTGGCAGCCGTCTTGTGGTCAAGAATGAACTTCAAAAGATCCCTTGTGGCTTGACCTCTGACCTCCTCATCTTTACAACGATTTTCAATGGGATCTACAAGCTTTAAATATAAAGCAAACATAAGAAAATGATATGATGGTGAGGTGAAAGATAAAACAAACAGATTAGACCTCCGAGATAGATGCTCTACCAGGATTTGGTGCAAAATAGAAAAGACACTCATAGAGTTCTAGGCACCGACTACTGCAAATAGGATTGCCACTCAAAAAATAATTCAATCCAAATAACGCTCGTATCTTTCTAGATGTAATAATTAAAATACCTTTTATTCTTTACCATGTGCTAATTCACTATCCACAAATGCAAAATTGTATAACAGCCATTGAGTTGCCATGTTTTTTTTTCTGGAGTCAGCCTAAGCCACATAAGAAAATTACTCCTTTCAATCTAGCATCAGCTACCCATATGATATAAATCAAACAAAAAGCATATTCAAACCAAGTCTAGTGCAGCAAGAGACTATCAAAAAGAAATAGTGATCACATCATCATGGTTTTAAGAATGTGCATTAGGATGGAGTGTACCATGGTATGTCAGTATGTCACAGAATAAACAGAGTACAAAAATTATACAATCGATGTCAGTCAAAAACCATAAAATGAAGCGAGAAGAATCATGAGATGTTACATATTTACATTAGCAGGAACTGGAAAACAGTTCTGGAAATAAATACCCAGAAAGAGATTATAAAAGTCAGTATGTAGACAGAGATGAGAATATTGTTTTTACCCTTTTCAGCTCCTCAAGTTTACTATTGTAAACTGCTTCAGTCTCATCATCACCTTCTTCATAAAGCCAATCTTCAGTCTGTTGTAGACTGAGTGAGATTTCTTCTCTTTCAGAATCAGTTGCAAAGCTCCGATACCTCTCGGAAAGCTAGAAAACAATATATCAGCCAACAGAACTTTGCACTTCAAAAGGAAGATATAGTTAACATTCTCATATAGCCACCTTATTGCGAGTATCATACACATAAGATTCCAATGCGTTCTTCCTTTCTTTTGTCCGCTCCATGAGTTTATCCTGATAAGCAAGTTGTGATTCTTGCTCTTGAGCTTCCAGCAATTCCTGATTACTCATTGCACCATAAATGGACTGAACAATAGGCAATTGGATTAACCTTTCGCTTCTTGACTTATCAACCTGTTGCCCCTTCACATAATAACAGTTGAGACACCTAGTTAATTGGGCATAACTGAAAGACCACTTCTTAAAAGTTTTGAAGTATGTAGTTTGTACTTTGAGCAGGAAATATTCATATTCCTTTTCGATTTCTCAACATATAACTAATTCCAAGATATATTCTACCAATTAGCTGTATTAACAAGTTGTTTGCGAATTCACAATTCTAATAGTTAAAGATGCACAGCTATACCCAACCAATAGGGATAAATTATAATCAAAAGACTATTGCTAGTTGCTATACAGCATTTATTGAATTATACACCAACACATACTACCATATCAGCACAGTGATTATAAGAGCACAATGCATAAGTTTTAGGAACACGTATATGGCAGTAATCTAGGCTCAGTTTGCACAACAAGTCCTCACCATTTCACCATTGGAATCCACCTCCATAGAGTCAGCAGAATGTGCATCGCTTTGATCATCATCAATCAGCTGAGGCAGTTTACAGGTCAGAAGTTTACATTAAAAAAAAAGCTGCCAATTACTATGAAAATTGATACTTACAGCAGCTGATTCCACTGAAACAAGTCCATGGAGATTTAACCGAATTCTTACTTTGACTTTAGACTTTTCAGTATGTGCTTGGAAAGGGCCAATCTGCAATAACATCACTTCAAATAGTTAGAAGAAATTATGTAGCACATCAACACCCCACTATTTCAAACTGTAAGTGTATCTTGACTCGATTCATGGCAAGAAGATTTTATGCCACAAATCCAGCTGATATGCAAGGTTACTAGAGGTTTCAGAAGACAGAAGATACAATATATCAATTATCCATCTATCCATCCCTAGTTACCAAACCATGAACAATATATGCCCAAATTAATGGATGAACGCATAGAACTATTAATCTATCATCATGAGAAGTAGTGGCCTGACTTCCAAGGAAGAAAATAGAACTTGAAGAGTACGGCACTGATCTTTCAGTACAACAAACCCACTTAGATGATAGTTCTGAATATGCTACCAGGGATACAACAAGTTCTGACTGGAAAGCTGTTATGAAGTATTTAAAACTAAGTACCACTGTATCTTGTTGCTCTACACAAGAATACTTCATTAGTGTGAATATACACTACAAAGTCTTACAAAATGGAGTTGCAAAGTGTGCCCTCAGAATGTTGGTTCATAATATATCTTAGATTATTTTTTGTTTATTATTCTCTCGTTGATTTCTCAAAAAATAACAGCACTCATACTTTTTTTTACAGTGGATCACAGGCAAACTAACTTGAACACATGCTTGTGAGCAAGACTTGCTACAGTCTAATATCACCATCATACAGTCATATTATGGCTCACAATCACAAGATTGTTTCACCATCATAGGAATTATGTTCCTTATATAATAAGATGCAAACAAAAATATCCCACAAGGCACAGAAGAAGAAATTTTGACGACAATTGACAAGTGCCCAAGACATCTTATAGTCATAAGAAGGGAGATAAATGCCCATCAAAATTTCTATAGAAACAAAGGCACAGTGAAATAAAACATTGCTCCCTCCATCTCTTAATATTGGTTTCCATGGGATCTGCGCACTTGTCCTTTTGAAACTTTATCTTAAACATGTGTATAGAAATTGACTACACAAAAAGAATGTAACTGGATCTGTAGCATTCCATGGCTATTATTTTATTTCTGCTAGTGTACTAATGGTAAAAGGCCAAAGTCTTTGTGAGAATGAATACTATCTTTTGAAGTTACAGTGTTAGAAATAACAGATGCAAAGACCTAAATAAAGCACAATAGATATCCAGATCAAAAGGTTATAAGCATATAATGTGATCATTCTTTTATCAGATAAAGAGAGTAAATAGCATACCTGGAAAGCACCAATTTTTGTTGAGGTACCAGGAGGCAATTCATTCTCATCCACATAAAATGCATCCAGTTTAAATTTGCTGTTCTTATGCAGAGTAACGACCTTCACACTGGGAAGGGGATGACCTCTCTGGAATAGCGCGTTACTTGGTAATGTTGAAATTGGGCCTTCACTCGTGCAAAATCCTATCGAAGAAGGAATTGCATCTTGGACCTGACATACACCAAATGTATCAATTTCCGCTACATTGAAAGCAATCCAAATACCGTATGGAACTTTTTTTTTTCATTGCAAGTGCATGGAGCTCAAAATGCCAAAGATTATAAGATTGAAAAAAAACCTATACCTCATATTCTCGAACGCGGAATGTGGGACTAAGCATTGCGCACTGCAGTGCACACCCCCGAGCCACACATTCACTGGCATTGAGCGTGCGACTAGGCTCCCTTCTGAAGAACCCTGCAAGAATTCTAGCAATAGCAGGTACCCTTGACCCTGACCCAACGAGCTCCACAGAATGCAGCCTGTCAAATCCGATCCTTGAACCCTCCATAGCCTTCTTGCATGGCTCGACAACCCTCTCCAGCAGCCCAGCACACAGTTTCTCAAACTCCTCCCTCCGGATCATCCCCCTCACATCCTTCTCCTCCATCAGGCACTCGATATTGACCACTGCTTCCGCATTCGCGCTTAGCACTTTCTTCGCCTTCTCACATGCCGCCCTCAACCTCATGCTTGCCTTGACATTCCCAGTGACATCTATCTTATACTTGTCCCTGAATTCCTCCGCAAAATGCTCGAATAGCACCTCATCAAAGTCCCTTCCCCCTAGGTCCGCATCGAATCTGTGCGACAGCACCTTCATCCCGGAGACATCGAACGCGACGACGGCCACCTGCGTATCGCAGTGACCGACGTCGACGAACGCGACGTACGTGGGACCACCGGGGCCGCCGAGGTCGGAGCGGTAGAGGCCGTAGCCGAGGGCGGTGGCGGCGAGGTCGTGCATGAGCCTGAGAGGGCGGAGGCCCGCGACGGCGGCGGCGTCGAGGTAGGCCTGGCGCTGCGCCTGCGTGAAGTAGCAAGGGACGGAGATGACGCAGTCGGATACGGGCGCCTCGAGGTCGGCCTCCGCGAGCTGCCTGAGGTACCCGAGCAGCATGGCGAGGAGCTGGGTCGGGGAGAGCGCGATGCGGCGGCCGATGTGGTCGACGTGGACGAGGACGCCGCCGCCTCCATCCGCGGAGGAGGCCTCGACGGGGAAGGGGAGGCGCGAGAGGTCGCCGCCGCGGCGGGGGAGCAGCGTGGGGCGGCCCGCGAGGAGGAGGAGGCGCTTGATGCTGGAGAAGGGGGCGTGCGACGAGGCGGCGCCGGCGGCGTGGGGGCCGAGGAGGCGGGCGTTGTGGGAGAAGGCGACGGCGGCGGGGGACTCGCGGTTGGACTCGGCGTTGAGGAGCACGTCGATGCCGCGCTGCCGCGCCGCCGCGGCGACCAGGGTGTCGTTGCCGACGTCGAAGCCCACCACGCTCATCGCGCCGCCTCCGACTCCGCCGGAATTGCGATCCGGGGGGATTCGATCGGGGGATGGGGATTGGGATTGGGATTGGATTAGGAGGGGACGGGAGAGAGCGGTGCGGCGGAGGGTACGGGGCCGCGCACGCCGGGGAGGGGGGAGAGCTGGACGGGGGCGTGTTTATTGGCTCTCTCTCTCTCTCTCTGACAGGTGGGAGGACATGGCTGCCTGCGTCCGAGATCCATTTTTTTCTCCAATTCGTCCTGTCATTTTGGAGTTGCAGTCTTGCAGATTATCATCAAATGGCCTAATCTCAGTTTTCAACAATAATAAAGGTGGATTATTATTGAAAAATTTATTTCGGGGGTTTTTTCCCCGATGCCCTAACAAAATTTTGATAATAATTAGACCGATGAGTGTGGTTTGATATAACAATTTATACCTTCATGCAAGAAATAGATTTAACGGCAAGAGACGATTTATAGTGTATAACTCTATGCATGTGACAATGTCCTTGCTCAACCATACTGCTTAGACAAAGTTAACCGTGGCACCAGAATTTTGTCGGGTCTGTCTGACCAATTTCATTAAGATTTGGCCGTGACACGAAAATTGCTACATAATCGATGGGTACATGTACAAGGGGCACCATTCACAAAAGCTCTCGGCGAGTACGTGGGTCAATGGTGAGTAGTGACTGCTAGGTATTTTCGGATTACAGATCCTTCCATACCTTCTTCGTGTTGGCCTACTGATTGATTTGGAAGGAGAGAAATACTATGTTGGGTTTCGCAGGCCTAAGCAGCTATTTTGAGAAATCAAACATGAAGTCTTACTATGAAAGAAAGCAGGAGTTTTCCTACCCTTTTTCTAAGGGAGTGTTTGAGAGGAGAAGATTGAGAAGATACGCAAAATAATTGAGTATTAACTATTTTAAATTTTAAAAATAGATTAATATAATTTTTAAAAGTAACTTTCATATAGAATTTTTTTTGCAATAAACGCACCGTTTAGTAGTTCGAAAAGCGTGCGCGTGGAAAACGAGTCACAATCTCCCCTATCTCCCAATTATATTTAAGGCTGTGTTTCTAGCTATAGATATTATAGATTAAGAATTAGATGGTGTAAAATATAACAAAGAAATATGTTTAAATTTCATATGAATTAGATGCTATTAACCATGGTGTAAAAAATCCAATGTTTAATATACCTGCCTGAAAATTACAGTAACACTGTACGAGCTATAAATATGTCGCATTTCAAACTGGGGTTATGATTGTATATACCGTTTTCAAACGATTTTATGGTTGAATGAATGAATGAATCCACAAGTCCACCCCAAAAAAAAGAAGAAAACAGATATTTCCCTTCCCGTTCCGGCCGGCCTCGCCGCACCGCCTCTTCTCCCCCCTCACCGCCGGCCTCCGCGCCGCCTCGCTGCCGCCGCCCCCGCGTCTCCTCCCTCCCGGCCGACTAGCCGGCGGCCATCCCCGCTTCCTACCTACGCGTTGCATACCCCGATACCCGCCATCCCCCAAGAAGAGGCTTCCATCTGATTTCTGATTCGATCTGACCCCCCGTGTGGGGCGGGGCTGGAGTTGATGGAGAAGGGGAAGTCGGTGGTCGCAGAGCTCGCGGCGTCGCTGAGAGATGTCGAGGTCACGCCGCGCCGGAAGCCAGCGAGTTCGTTACCGGCAGCTTCGTTCTGTAAGTCCCCTGGTTTCTTCTTCTTATTCATCCGTCAAGACCAAATGAAATTGCTCGAATCTGAAGCTGTATTGGATTTTATATTTACTTTGCTTTTATTGGTTTAATTGTGTATTTATCATCGCCTGTGTTGGTTTCTAGCTTTAATTTGGTGCCCTAGAGTGATTGCTCACAGTTTACGTGATTGATTTGGCCACCGAAGTTCGTGTTCATGTTCTTGGTTGTGAACCAGTATATACTGTTAAGTTAAAATTCTAAGCTAATTGTTCGGTTTGGACAAGAAAGATATTGAGGGTTACTGGGTTAGGATTTTGTGCTTCAGTTTGATCACTCCATTGATGATATCCAAAAAGTTGCATACCACATCATGTGACGCGAACACTAATCCGTTAAGAATTACAGGAAAACAAAAGTGTACAATCTCATTTGTAGTAATATGATTTACAGACACTGCAAATTATAAAGTACGGCAATAAACACACCAGTCTGAAATACTTAGTTATCTTCTTTTAATATGATCATCGAGATATGCAGATCCGAGCTTAAATTAGAAGTATAACATATACTGTCTTTTGTATATTCCAAATGTTGCAATATGAAAATTATGATATCCCCTGCGTCTATTGTAATACCTGAGCAATACAACCAAACTGGGACTCTTCTTTATAGCTTCTACAATCAGCCTAAAATATGTAACTGGATCTAGCAGGGTGCAAATCCTCAATTTTGAAAATTATGTCGGGCAAGTACAAGATTGTAGATGACAGTTGGTTTCTCTTGAACATAGAATGGAACCCCATATCCATTTATTTCGAGTGAGAATGAACTTGGACAAGCTATAATATTATTCTTCCTGACCAGGCTTCATTTGCTGCTGACAGTGGGCTCTATTCTTTTGAACGTTCCAAGAAGTTGTTGAACAGTGATACTCATCAGTTTTGCCCAACTTGCTTTATCCAGTTGTATGTGTGCGTATGTGCTGTGTACATTAGAATGATTGACTCATTTTTTTACCTGACTGTCCTTGTCTGTGCCTTATGTGCTATTATACACACACACTAACCTGCACATTTGAACTGCATCAGATTCTCCAACAAACAAAGCTAGACCTCGGAAATTGGTTAGTTTGTGCCTTGGCATCCTCGGACAGCATCTTGAAGATATCATAACTGATATTTCCGAATTTTCTACCTTCTTTCCACCCCACATAAAGGTACATGTGTCTCGCCTTTGCAGGGTTTTGCTGTATTGCAATTTTATCTCATTCCCGTAATAAACTTTGTACTCAAGGGTTTCAATTGATGATATACCGTGCCAATATTTTGTTTATAATTGAAGACTGCTTTACTGTTGATGATAGAAAAATGTTATTATTGTAATTACTTTAGTTAATTGTTCAAACCGTTAATTTCTTCTGTTGATTATATAAAGTGCTCTGCCATCTCTGTGAGTTGTATGAGAGGCATTTAAGAAACACTGAGAATCTTTATTTTGCTTTTCTTTTCTTGTTGTTGAATCTTGATTTAAATAGCACAAAAGGCATACATCTAAACCTTAGGAACATTAAAAAGCCACGACTGCAAGATTTTGTATAACCAAAAGTCGTGTGGTAAGGAAACTACTGCTAGAGATATTTAGCTCTTCAGTTTTATGCCTGCTTGCATCAATAGCTAATAGGGAAAATCTTCTTATGGTACACATTATTGTGTTTTATCACATGTTTACCCAGTATGAGCATGCAAATTGACATTATATTTACTGCATAATGTGACATCATTTTTTATTTATATTTTAGTATCCATTGTTATACATGCATGTCACACTGATAGTTGAGCTTATTGTATGATACAGCTGGCAATTTTGTCCATTGCAAGGAGAAGAAGGCTTCTAAATGATGAAGTTTTGATCTCTCTTGCTGATAGTTCATGGGAGATCCTAGATATATCTGGCTCTGATGTATCTGATATTGGTCTGGCTACTGTGGCAAATATTTCTAATAATCTGTGGGCTATCGATATTAGGTAAGGCTTGCTATTATGCTACTAATTGCTTGGTGAAAGTTAAGTAACTATTCCTTTCGATGAATTCATCATGTTCATGATATATCTTCTCATGCAGTCGCTGTGAAAGAATAACTGCTGCAGCTGTTTCTGAGGTTATATGCCATTGCCCATCCTTGGAGATATTGAGATGCGGGTACGAGCTCCAACAAAATACATCTATAAGTCAATGGGTAGTATTAATTTACTTCTATCAGGCAATTTAATTTATTCTTTCCATGATTTTCCCTGTCATGTTTTTTGTGCATTAGTGTGAATTTCTTGGTGTTGATCTGGCTGTTCTGAATTTATGATCCATTCCTGTCGAAGTTTCAATTACATGGCTGAAGTCATTTTGTCCCATGAAAGTTCATATGCTGAGTTGGTGGTCTTCGAGAAATTTGGATTCTGAAGTTAGCTATAAAATCTACACTTTATGATAACCCCATAATGATAATTGAAGTTGCTGAAAAATGACGTGTGTGGATGTTTTAAACTAGATTATGTGGTTCTTCATGGGTAAATAACAAAAAGTAACTTCATTTAATGATCGATCACTTTGGATGCCAATAATGCATGTACTCATATCACATGTGCATGCAGGTGTCTTTCTGTACTGTGTATGAGTTCCCAGCCTAACTTATTTTACCGAATATCTAGTCGAAGCTTTCATAGAAAGTTGTTCTTTGCTCTGTAGTTTGTTCATGCTGGCAATTCTTATGGATTTCAATGTTGACTATGCAAAGTATTCCGCATAGCAGGATATGAAAACGAGCTTAAATCCCATGATTGCAGAGGCTGTCCAGGAAGTGAATCCACCGCGCGCAGATCTGTGTATCTCTTGAAACCCAAATTGAATACTCTTGAAGAGGACTCGTGGGAAGAACTTGATACGGTAGAAATTGGCGGGGGTGCAGAGTCCTTAAGATGGCTAGTTTGGGTATGCATGCAAACTCTTTTCCTTTTCTAAATGGATGTTATGATGTGTTGACTGCATTCAGATTTAATTGATGCATCTCTTGTGTTTCATATTTTTCTTGTTTTACAGCCAAAGATAGATGATAACTCAAAGGAAATTATATCTATGGAATGCCCTCGTATTACTGTCAACCCACAGCCATCACCTTTTGACCTTCGTGGACACAAGGTCCCAGCTGAAGCTCTGGCAAGTGTACCACTGGATCACTCCATAATCGCAGATATTGACCCCAAAACATGGGCTGTTGCTGCCGCCCCTCGAAGACCCACCGTTCCAACCAACCCAAATGCGCCCCCTGAAATACCAATCGCCGAGAAGTTCAGGCTAGCCTATGTGGAGAGAGAAGCAAGGTTGGCCCCAAAGAGAGCCAAGAGAGAACGACAGCAACGCCGTCGCGCCGAAAGGGAGTACCTGATGAACGACATCAATGCCAAATCTGTAGCGCTTGCAGCCCAAGTGAGCAAATACCTGCGCAAGAGCTAGTGGCAAGCCTTAGTTGTGTACTCTTGGTTGTTGTATGCATCACAATTGTCTGAATACAAGAAAAAAAATCGTGGGTTTGTGACAAAAAAGAATAGGATTGTTGCATCCCAGTGTTTCAGGGTCACGCTTGGCGTCTGGAGTTCTGGACACAGTTTTGTCATAGTAGCTTATATAGCAGTGTGCATACTTTGTACTACTGATCTTTCATGTGTGGAATCATGTCAACATTGAACAAAAGCCTACAGGCAATCAGGCATTCTGTGCCTTATCAATGATCACCTGTCCTTTACCATCAGTTGAAGGTTTCCTTATGTTAGAATCACAGTGACTAGTGGTATCAGTTTGCACAGTTCTTATTGTGGAAGCCATAAAAATATGATGCTGAGGGATTTTGGATTAAAATCTGAATACTAGCTCTGTTCTTAGTACCAGAACAACAAATTCGGATCTGAGGATCTCCAGATGCCGAAACTACAAATAAAAAATCTACACACACACAAAGAAGTAGAATCTTTAAGAAATCCGAAGTTATTTCTCCTGAAATTAACTCCTAAATCAAGAACAAACGAAAGAAGACAAATCTGCACAGATCTAAAGAAGTCTAAAACAAAGAGTGGAGCAGGCAGCCTGAGGAATCAGTCTGTCAGTGCGCGGCGAGCATCTCCGACGGCGCCGCCACCGCGAACGCGTCCATGAACACCTCGGCGGCGTCCGCCGCCGTCGTCGGCGGCGGCGGCAGGAACACCACGGTCCTGGCCGCGGCCAGCTTCTTCCGGAGCGGGTACCTCGGCCCCCTCACAGCCCCAAGAAAATGCGGCACGCCGGCGCCATCTCCCGCCGCCGCGGCGGCGGTCGGGGGAGGCGAGGACGGCGGGAGCGTGTTCGCGGGCGGCGACGCGGGCACGGCCACCGCCGCGGCGGCGGCGGCGGACCGGAGCGAGCGGGCGATGACTTTGGAGTCGCGCAGCCGCGCGAGCGCGCCGGGGCGGAGGAAGCGGTGGTGGTGGAGGCGCTCGTCGGCGTGGACCGGGGCCCCCGGCGGCGAGGACCTCCGCGACGGGGAGCGCAGCAGCAGCTGGCGGCGGTGGTGGTGGCAGTCCATGGGAGAGGGAGACGCGTGCGCCATGGCGGATTCGAGCGCGGGGAGATTTGGAGAATTTGGGCGCGGAGGAGGAGGAGGAGGAGCGAGGCGGAGGTTGGAATTTATCGCCGCCGCGTGGAGGGAAAGCGAGGCGGGAAGGTGAAAAAAACGCGCCGGCGTAAACAGCGGCAGCTAGATTACGCCTCCGGTATAGCGTTTACGTAAACCTGTGGTACACATTCCGCGCGTGCGTGGGAGTCCCGTTCGGGCCGTTCCTTTTCAATCGGACGGTTAGGAAAATGGAAAGAGTACACCAAAGGTCCCTCAACTTGTCATCGGGATAAATAACGTCCTCGAACCACAAAATCAGATATGCGTGGTCCCTCAATTATAGTCCCTCTGTGGTTTCGGTTTTATCCGGAGTGGCGGCTGAATCAGCGTGGGACCCATGTGGGCCCTACATGTCAGCTGGCTAGAGGGTCCCACGCTGACTCAGCTGCCACGTCAAACAAAACCGGGTTGAAAATCACCGAGGGACCTCGGGTGACTGGTTTTGTATAGTTGAGGGACCCCGCATATCTAGTTTTGTGGCTCGAGGATGTTTTTTTATCCCGATGACAAGTTGAGGGATCTTTGGTGTACTTTTTCCTAGGAAAATTGCAAGTGGCCCGGCCCGTGGTGCAGCCCAGTTGGGCCATGTTCCGTTTAGTTGGGTTGGGCCTGGAGTTATCTGGGCTTTTTCGGGTGGTAGCTAGATGGCCCAGCCCACAAAGAATTTACATTGGTTCAGACGAAAGTACTACTGAATTCACGAGGAATTCGTGCCGTCCCAGAAAAAAAAATTCTTGAGCCATTCATATGTGTTTTGGAACGCATTTGAAATTCAGAACAGCATATCTAGTATCTAGATGGAGTAGATTGAAGAGTGAAAAGGCTCTGCATATATGTATATATCTTGGTAACAATGCACAGAATACATTAGATCCTTACAAGTTACAACAAAAATGGCAACCTAAAACATGAGAAAAAGTAGATCAGCCTATGTACCCTCAACCGTCACCGGCAGTCTCAGTGAAACCACGGTCTGCATAGTTGGTGTATCGGTGTATGGTGAGCCCCAATCACAAAATTGAGCCTAGCTTAGCTACTATTGCTACAAGATGAATCTAATACATTTTCTGCACAATGTACAACATGTTCTGATCTGTTATACAATGTAGCATTCAGCTAGTCATGTCAGATCTTCCGGTGGCCCTGCTTAGAAAGAAGAAATCCAGAGAGATTTCTCGCTTTCTCCACATCTATTGTGCACCCACTGCATGTTCTCCACAGAGTCACATATGCCACTGCATTTCCAATCAAATGACACTGCGCATGTATTCCCTGCCTGAGCTTTCCATTCGCAATCTGTGACCGAGAGACATATGGCTTCAAATTAGTTGCGCACAAGAACAGTAATGCGTGAAGTATAGGCGGGTTTTATCAGTGCTGTTATGAAATATAGCTTTGGGTTCAGACTTTAGAGCAAGTAATGTAAATCCTCAAGTAAACCAGGCAACCATTCTGAACCGAGAGAGATTGCAAAATAACGTAGGCTTACCAGGTGGAGTACCACAACAAAGTCGGCGCTCATCAATATGCTCAACATCTAATCCTATGAACCAGGCTCCCAAAGACACATCCTCATTGATGTACTTATGCAAAACACGTCTGGCATTATTGAATTAGCAACAAGTTTAGCCTTAGCAAGAATTAAATAATATTATAACAGTGAAACATATGAAACAGTCAGTTCAGATGCTGGCTCACTTGTTTATTGATATGTAAGTTGCCAAATCTTTTGAAATAGCATACAATTGACCAGTTGCATGCCGGAAATACTGGTCACCAAATTTCCAATGCTCAGGTTCATAGTACCTCACATCTCTGAACAGTGGTAATCGCACCTTAACCACCAGGAAAAGCATGATGAAGAAACAAGGAGAATATTTTATCTTCTTTTTACTTACTTGTCAGATAAGACGGGACCGGACTTCATGCATCCAATATATACTCTGGGCTTCTTAACATGATTCGATAAAATCTGTCCGAGTGTTGCTGCAAATATATAACAATATCATGTTATAAACAGGATGTCAAGATGTTGCTGAGCACACATTTTTCATATACAAAGGCCCAGACTTGACAGAGCTTTCCCTGGGTCCTAAGGAAATAACACACAAGACAGCATCGGAGTAAAAATCAGCCTATAAGCACTTGGCCCTTTCGCAATACTTCTACCAAAAAGGGCACTGACGTTGACAACAAATGGATATATTAAGAGCTTTAGAAAGAAACATGACAGTCAGACATAGATTACTTTGTACAACCATACAGATTAAAAAGGACAGATGTTCAACACAAAGACTTCACCTATATTAACATGCACATCATCGTCAACCTTCACATAGAAGTCAGCATCCCATAAAGAAACAGCTGTAGCAAAGTATGTCTTGGTTTTGCCAGACAATTCAAGGTATCCTTCAACATGGTCCTAACAGAAGTGGACAGGACTGACATTAGGCACAGCAATAAGGTATGAAGTTCAAACTTCGAAAGTACTCCAACATGAGTTCAAAAAGGTAATGGAGCAGCTAGTTCTTCGTAAACCACATAAGCAGAATATTACTATTCTCATGAAATCTCCATGTTTTCTTTCCTCTGCCTTGATTGCTCTCTCCACAATGCCACCTGAAATAGCACTGGAAAAAACATAACCCGTGTTTACATTCTTGATGATGCATGTATTCCCAATAAAAGTGATAAAAAAATGGCTGTGCAGTTGCTAACATATATTTTTTTCTCACCCTGTCCATCCTTGGCCTATGTGAAATGGTTAGATAATTTATGAATTTAAATACTAATAAAAAGTTGCTGGAAAGGATAGAGTCCAAAATGTTTTGAATTGTTATTTCATTTATGAATTACGTGCGGTGATGCAAAATGTGTTTATTGGACAATAGCCCAGGATTTCTTTCCCCTTGAAACCACCATGCATCAAGGCTAACACAGCCAGTTGGACTATATTCATATGACAAGGCGCAAAGTATGAGAATATTTAGGTTGGTAGAGAAAAATCAATGAAGTGTGGAATTTATGTTGCAGCACATGTCAAAAATATATATATTTGCACACCTGTGACCAATAACAAAACGGATTACGATCCCCTTCTCTTCTTCTAGTTTTCTTCTCTTTATTCCTGTCCCCATTGTTAGCTGAACATTAGTACTCCATATTATAAGGATCCAGAACAAACGGAGAAAAATCTAAACACTCTGGTGCAAAAAAAGACCTTGAGGCATCCATGTGTTACGGATAGAATCCCTTCTCTGTCGACTGCTAAAAGCAGTATTAATGCCTATCACCATAAGATATTTCTGCCTTCCTGTAGAGTCCGAACCCTTATGCCCTTCTGAAACCGGAGAACCATTGAGAAATGATTCCTGCAGAGTTCTCGCAGCGGAAAGTTCTGTCTCCAGTTTTGCTATTGTCTTATCCAAAGTCCTGCAGGAAGGAGCCATTTTGGTTTAATTATGAACAAACACCATTATGCTTACTGGAAAGACCAAAGAGGAAAAAGGAAAAAAAAGTATCAGTGCAATCACATACCATACAGCATGATGGGTATCTTGGGTTTGTAGGATCTCCCTGTAATCTCGTTTTACATTAACCTGATGACACGATAGCATGAAACCAGAAATTTGCATATACGCCAGTGTGCTATATGATAGTGGATAAATGGTGATGTAAAGAGTATTCTAAGGCAGCAGTCCTAATGCTGCGACGGTCTTGCAGGTGGTAGAGAATGATGGTAATCTTTGGTGTTTAGCGGGGGCGTCTGCCTCCAAAAGTTTCTTAGTGGTTCGGCAAGCCTAGGCACCTAATTGGCCAGGGTTGGCCGGGGCGTGGGTGTGTAGGAGGGATTTGGTCTCTCCTACTTTGTATTTTTTTTCCTTTTTTTTTCTTCCCTTAATGAAATGAAATGCAATTCTCTTGCGTTTTCAAGAAAAAAAAATAAAGAGTATTCTAATTAAAGAGATAATATGCAATTCGTTCTTCGCTATGTGACATATGCAAATACTGTCAGGAATTACTTGTGGTTGGGGAATGGTACACCTTAGCAGAATTACAGTCTCCAGCAGTAAGCTCATCCTCCTTCTCTCTCCTTCCATTTGGCCTGGCAACTTCAGTAACCTCAGGCAGTGTCCACATCCTGTAAAGAAGGGACTCTCGAATCAAAAGAAACAAATTGCTCATCATCTGCATCCCACATTCCCTCCCCTAAAAAACTAAAATCCAAGAAACGGAACAACAAATCTTGCCCCCGAGACCAGTAGCACTATTCCAGCCCTGGAGCTAAGCAGAATGAGCCAAGAAATGTGGAGCTGAAGTGACCTACCTGTCGGTGAAGAGCAGGCCGAGGAAGAAGCTCCCGGTGCAGAGCAGCAGGACCCATCTCCTCGCCACGCCCCCGTCCCCTCTCCTCCAGCTCATGGCCGCCGCCGCCGCCGCCACCCACCAGCTCAGGGAGAGTGAGGAAAGAAAGGGGGGGAATCGAGAGCAACAAGGGTCTTGGAATTCATAACCATATCCCAAGTCTCAGCTGCTGCGAATGCGAATGCGAATGCGCGTGGTGGGTGGGGGAACCGTGGAAGCGAGCGCTGAGCGAACGGCAACGAAACGAACTGGAAGGAATGCAGTGCGGAGGCGGAGGCGGAGGCGTGGCGGGTGGGGCGGTGCCGTACACAAATGCCAGGCCGTCGCGTGCAAGCCGTGTTAATTCGCGCCGAATGGACGTAGGCTATGTTTGATTCAGCTTAGAATTAGTAAACTGAAATAAACAGATAGCTTATTATAATAGATTATTATAATCTATAAGTTAGATTATTATAATCTAATAATCCACTCTAAATGTGCTTTTTTAAATTGTTGGGTTGCTAACCGCGAACAAACAGCTAATAATCCAGATAAACAAACAGCTAACCGCTTATTCTATATCGGCTTATTATAATTCAGCTTATAGTAATCTGGCTCAATAATCTAGACTATAATAATCTTAAACTGAAACAAATAGGGCCTTGAAACTCTGACACTTAGCTAATGAGCGAGCGGTTAATAATTGGCCAAACAATCAAGGTAACTACTACCAGTCACTCAGTCAGGTTGTCAGCGTCTCCCAAACTCCCTCCATCACATTAAAAAAATTAACAACTTTTAGCTACGTATATCTTAAACCACACTTGTTGAGCTATATACTTAGGAGTAAGGACTTGTGAATTGTGATGGATATATATGGGTGAAGCTTTGTAGGGTTTGCTAGAATATGAAGGGCCTTTTGGGAGCTTCAAATTGTGAGAAGCGGCTGGTTGGAAGCCAGCTTATAAGAATCTGAAAAAGTTGTGTTTTTTAGCTTAAGTTGTGTTTCCCAGCTTCTAGCTTTTAGTTTATTTTCTGAATTTTACAACTACATCCGCTCAGAATCTGGACCAAAAGCTGAACTGTTTTAGGGATCTTCTGATTCTACGAGAAACTGCAGCAGCTAGAAGCTCCTCCAAACAGGACTGAAGTGTGGTTGGTAGCTTGTTTGAGCTAAAGCCTGATTTAGATTTTTGAAACTATTTTTTATCGGCGTTTTCGTCACTCTGTCTTCATTTTTCAATCGATAAGAATAGTTTACAAGTATTGTTTTTGTTTGTTAGTGTTTGATATCCCTCTTTAAAATGGTCTGATATCAAAGTACTGGTATATATCGGGTATGTTACTTTGTGGTATAAGGCCCTATGCAAACTGATAGTAGAGTGTACTAGGCTTGACACCTATGTGGATCATATCTGCAAGCAAATATAAACGGAGGTGATGCTAATGGCGACGGTGGGTGCCAAGAGGTATACGTCGGATCCCTTTCTAGTTAGTTCCCATTACTCCTCGCTTCGCCTAACTTCACATGCTTCCCGCCTTGCTCCATGTGCAACTAGGTCCCCATCATCGCGTTGCCTTGTGGTTACGACAAGGGGAAGGTTTCGCGAGCAACTTAGGATGTCATCGCGCCATCTATAGATGGCCAAATGGGCCGCCTGGCCCAACACGGCCCAGTGCCTGGGCCGAGGTCAGTAGGGCCGGCACGGCTCGCCTACACGTCGGGCCGTGCTGTGCCAGCCCACGGGCTACACATAGCCCAAGGCATGGTCCAATAAGACTCGGGCCATGCCGAGCCAACCCGAAGGCACGACAGCCCATCGTGCTTCTCCATAGAATAAGTCTATTTTTTATCTTAGCCTCAACTTCACACACTCTTTGTCTTAGCCTCAACTTCACACGCTCTCCGTCTTGCTCCACGTGCTACTAGATCTCCATCGCTGCGTCGCCTTGTGGTTACGAGGAGGGGAAGGTTTCACGAGCAACCTGGGATGTCATCGTGCCATCGTTTCCGATGCCAGTAGGGTAGAGCAACTCATCGTTCTTAACAGCGCACCCACGTCAACCAACCTCCTTGTTCTTCTCCCAAGTCGCCGATGTCAGTATTGCTGGTGTCGTTCTCTAGCATGGAAAAACTCATTATGAAGGAGCGGCGGTGGGCACGCGTACCCTCACACGAGGAGGAAGGATAGGATCCCGCCCTCTAGCATTTCTCATGGCATACCTCGTTATCTTACGCCATTAATTTTGTTAAACTGGCACTCCCTCCATTTCAGGCTATAAAATGTTTTGACTTTGATCAAAATTAAACTGTTTTCAATTTGACTAGATTTATAGAATATAGTAATATTTACATTACCTAATTAGTTTTATTAAATTAATAATTAAATATATTTTTATAATAAATTTATCTTTGGTCAAAAATATTACTATTTTTTTATATAAACTTGGTCAAACTTGAAGAAGTTTACTTTGACCAAAATCAAAACGTCTTATAACCTGAAACTGAAACGGAGGGAGTAGTTGGTTAAGATCGACTAATTAGTGCGCATGCACTCTCCAGTCGATCGTATCCTACAATTATTAGTCTTTAGCTTCTAAACCGCAGCCAAAAATAGTACCCTCCTGTCCCTCCAAAGCCGGGGGCCTTTAGATGCGCATAATATGTGAATCTAATTGATGGACTGAAACATAGACTAGCCACTGATCATCAAGACGTACCAGTCCAAATCCCAATTACTACTAAGCACTGCCTAAACATAGACAATAACACACATAAAAAGTGAGAAAGATAAGCAAAGGAAGGATCAAGTCAAACGTAGCTAGCTGGATGAGTCCATGGCAAGAATAGGAAAAAAAAGAAAAAAAAAAGCGCGGGAGAATCGGTGAGATGAGCTAGCTTCCCATGCCATGCATGGCGGGCGCGGATCCGGCAGCTGCGCCACGCCACCCGCCTCCTCCTCCCCCCGCCATTACCATCGCCTCCCTCCTCCTCGCCTCCCCCCTTTGTCTTTCTCCTCCTCGCCAGGGAAAGGCCCCCCCGCCGCCGCCGTCGTCGTTCCAGCTATAGCTTTCCCCGCCGGCGGTGGCGATCGATCGATCCTCTCCTCGTCGGTTGATTAGGGTCAAGAATTCTTCCCTCTCCCAGCTTGGTTGAATTTCTTGGTTTGATCAAGGGGAGGAATTAATTGAGAGGTGAATTAGTTCGCCGGAGTTTGTTTCTCTCTCTCTCTCCTCTTCTCTGAGCTGAGAGGGGGAGGAGAGAATCAAGTGACGAGTTATAGTATGGCGAGGAGCGGCGGCGGCAATGGTGGGGGAGAAGGTGGCGGCGGCGGCGGCAATGGCGGTGGCGGGGGAGGGTTGAAGAAGGGGCCGTGGACGCAGGCGGAGGACAAGCTGCTGGTGGACCACGTGCGGCGGCACGGCGAGGGGAACTGGAACGCCGTGCGGCGGGAGACCGGGCTGCAGCGCTGCGGCAAGAGCTGCCGCCTCCGGTGGGCCAACCACCTCCGCCCCGACCTCCGCAAGGGGCCCTTCTCCCCCGACGAGGAGCGCCTCATCCTCCGCCTCCATGGCCTCCTCGGCAACAAGTGGGCTCGCATCTCCTCCTACGTAAGCAACAACCCATCTAATCTCTAATTTCTTTCTCTCTCGAGTTTGATCAATCATGGCGGTGGCGTGGTGTTCGTGGCGTGCAGCTGCATGGGAGGACGGACAACGAGATCAAGAACTACTGGAACACGCGGCTCAAGCGGCGGGTGCGCGCCGGCTTGACGCCGTACCCGCCGGAGATCGAGAGGGAGATCGCGCACCTCCGCGCGCAGAATCTCAACCTGTCCGCCGAAGGCGGCGGCGGCGGCGGCGGCATGCTGCCGCCGCCGCTCCTCCTCGACCCGAGCAACCCGTTCGCCTTGCAGCAGGCGCCGGTGGTGGCGCCGTCGCCGTCGGCGTCGCAGGCGAATTCGCCGCCGCTGATCAACCAGAATTACCCGCTCCTGAACCAGATGCAGGGGCTGCAGCTTCTCCACCTCGCCAACCACCAGCAGGCGCCGCCGCCGCAGCAGCAGCAGCAGCAGCAGCCGGCGTTCCACCACCACCACGACGGCGGCGGCGGCGGCGGGTTCGTCTCGTCGGGGCTCCCGCCGCTGCCGAACAGACCGCGCGAGCTCCCTTCGAACCAATTCGAGACGGCGACGAGCGGCGGCGGCGGCGGCTGCGACGCGCTGCTCGAGTCGCTGCTGCTCGGCGACGACCACCTCCTGCCGCGGCCCAACCCCGCCATGCTCAGGGTGGGCTCCATGCCCGAGCTGATGTACCGCGAGCCTAGCTCAAGCCACGTGCTCCATGGCGGCGGCGGCGGCGGAGGCGCCAGCGACAGTGACGTCACCTCGCAGTATCCTCCGGGAGAAGAGGACCCGCATTATGGCGGGAGATGGGACTTCATCTTCGGTTAGTTCATCCAAAAATTTCGAAATTTTATTTTCATTTCCACATCGATAAAAAAAAGTTCGAGCAATTTTTGTGAAATTATATATACTTTTCATTCTATAAATGAAAATTTATATATTAAACTACAGATTTATGGTGCTTATCACGAAGCTACAGATTGGCCATTTTATCTTAAATACATATCGCAGTTATCACAAAACTACATATTAAACATCAATCATAACACAAAACTACAAAGTTTATTTTAAGTTTCTAAACTCTAAATTCCATATTTTCCAGATAGCCCGTCTTAGATTTGTCATCATATTTTTTCCGATGGTTTGATCAAAGTTTATTTTTTCTCGAACGGTCAGTTGTTGTCGACGTTTTATATTTAAAAGAAAAGGATGTCCTATTTTAAGGAAAAAAACATATTCATACCTTAGAAAACACTATTCAATGGAAACCGGAGGAAAACCACAACTACAACCACACTCTAACAAACCTACCAAGACCGAGAAAAATGAAGAAAGGCGAAGCCCAAAGCAACCATCGATAAAGAGCTCGTCGATCAAAGTTTATATAGTACTGTTAAATTTACTTTAGAAATTCAAGCTTCAAACACATATAACAAATCAATCGATGGAACTGACACCAATCACCTCATATCAAATCTAGCATAGGGTGAGCGATCATCATCAGTTCATCACAACGGCGATCGATCCATCGATCTCACATCTTGTTGCATTGGGGGAAACCGATGATGCAGAGGACGTGAAACCCAAGAGGAAGGCGGCGAGCGCGGTGGAGGAGATCTCCGGCATGTTCGGCATCGCCCCGGGCTCCATCCCGGGGGAATGGTTCAACCCCGGCGGCGTCGGCAGCGCCGCCGCCGCCGCCGGCGGGTCGTCGGCTCCGTCTCCGGGGCCGTCGTCCGTCGTCACCACCGACGACGACTTCACCCTCGAGATGCAGCAGATCATGTCGTCGCTGCCGCTGCTTCAACCTGAAGAGCATCATAACTGGAACGCATAAAGCTTTGGAACAGCAAGATGAGAGATGATTTGGTAGTGAGAGAGAGAGAGAGACTGTAAATCGGTTCTGATGAGCAGTGAGAAAAAATGTTGGTTCTTGTTTTTTGTTGTTTGTACTGGGCCTTATTGTCGGATCTGTCACGCGCTCTGCCTTTTGAATTGCAAACTGTTTTTCGTTATTGCTATCAAGTAATTAAAAGGGTTTCTCGTAGTTGATAGTCCTTGTCTAAATCAGTGAAGAGATTCAAGAAAATTCAGCTGATATATTGGAAATCCACTCCAGCAACTGTGGAGTATGTTCCTTGTTCACAGGATTGCCGCGTCATAATTAAAAGGCCCCATCATTTATGAATAAAACTTATATATACATTAACCACCAGGGAGTATGTATGTACTGTTGCAACCTTCAACAGAGGAAGAGAGAATGCGACGAAACTGTTCAACTGTTCAAATATTGTGCTAACTTCTGCAACAGTGCCACGAAGAGAGAAAAATAACCATGATAGCGCAATACTGTCTTTTTGCGTACCAGGGTCATATTTGATATCTCCTGTCGTTCAGTTTTTGGGATTGCCGAATTTTACTTGGCTTTATGGAAGGGTTATTTATATATAATTATAGATGTTTCATTTAAATTGTCAAAACTGTTACTCCTATTCAAGAATCTGTAGTCATTTAACTCCCATCTCACATGAAGAAAGAGATGAAGCTGATGGGGAGTCAAACACAATGTAAGGACTTTTTCATACTCCCAGCAAATCAGAAACTTAACTTGCGAAAATGATAGTTAAACACAAAATTATGCAACTTATCACTCGAGAAAAGAATCTGAAACTACAACACTGAATTGATTGATGGATGAGTACAACATGCATCTATGACCTCAGGAAGCCCATTGATATCATGTGAATGCAGCAGCTGCAAGTAGGTTCTACCTGGTAAACAGGAACTTGAGCCAACTACACCCTCTAAACTTTGGGCAACTCATCATCGGCAGATTAGAGATTTTTTTTTTTGACCAAGGGCATTACACCCCATTTCCATTACTAGAAATGAAAGAGATTACAAGATCAAAGTCTTACAAACTGAACAGAAAAGAAAGGACAGAAGCTAGCACACCAGTTGTTTTTGATCATACAGGGACTATCCAGAAGGCATAGAATCAGCAACTGCATAACAAGACTTCCAGGACTAACAGGAGCCATGAACCCAGCATCCAAACAATCAACAAAGCATACTCTACCCCCGCCAAAAGATCAGCACTGCAGTCTCCCCGTCGGCCTCCATCTAAATCTAGAGTTGTACACATCACTTGCAATTTGCCTTATGAGCTTGGCCCCCAAGAGCAGCTTTCTTTGATCTGCCTCCCGCTTCTGCAAAAGAGCCCAGGATTCCATCCAGTGGCAAACCAGGAAAATTACATCAGTGGGATCATTAGGCAATTTTTTTATCAAAACAAGCTTTATTTCTGGTTTTCCAGACAGCCCAGATTACAGCAGCAATACTAGTTACAATCAAGTTTTTGGTTTTGTTTGAGAAAGCAGAAAGCCAAGCCCCAAAAAGGTGTTGGCAGTCTTTAGCTGTTTTGAGATCAAAAGCACACTGTATTATATTCCAAATTAGTCTGACAAGAGAGCAATCAAAGAAAAGGTGTTGAATTGATTCATGTTTGTCCCAAATCTGACATTTTGTTTCACCCTTTCTCCAACCTCTCCTAAACAAATTGTCCTTAGTCAGAATCTTGCCTCTCAAAAGAATCCAAATGAAAATTTTAATTTTCAAAAGAATTTTGAAACTCCAAATTTTCTTAAGAGGAATGTCTATTTGTTGAACACACAGTGCATTGTAGAAGGATTTCACACTGAAGACCCCTATTTTTGTCAGATTCCAGACAAGCTTATCATTCACCCTCTCCTCAACCTGAATCCCTTCCACATAAAGTTTGATTTTATTCCAGTCCCTCAATTTGCTTCCATACAAAGACCTTCTAAACTTTATAACCTCCCAACCTTTGTTTTTAATCTCAGCCAAGGAAACATGTTTTGAGAGAGTAATGTTACAGAGAGTAGGGAATAAGTGAGCCAGAGGTCTGCTCCCGAGCCAACTATCTTCCTAAAACATAATGGACCTTCCATCCCCCACTTTCTTTGTGCAAAAATTATAGAATCTCTCCTTTACTTCCATCAAACCTTGCCAAAAGTGGGAATCACCAGGTTTAGGTTTCTGTATAGACATTGTTTTCTTCTTTAGGTATTTATCCCTCAACACCTCCTGCCACCACCCTTCCTCATTCTCAAGTTTTCAAATCCATTTTCCCAAAAGAGCTTTATTCATAAGATCCAAATCTAGAACATCCAAACCCCCCTGATCTCTAGGAGTACAAACCCCCCTGATCTCTAGGAGTACAAATCACATACCACTGTACAAGATGATATTTCCTAATCCCCTGATGATCTTCTTGCCAGAGCAATCTCCTTCTAAAGAAATCCATCCTTTCCTTCACACCAGTGGAAAGTCTATAGAAAGATATCATATATAAAGGAACATTATTCATACTAACATATAAGAGCATCTCTAAGAGACTCTCTATTCAGTTCTTCAAGTTAAAATTTATCTAACACAAGAAAAAAACAAGCTCCAACAGACTCTCCATCCGAATGGCCAAGCCATCCGGATAGCCAAATTGCTCCTCCGGCTGGCCAAATGTAGCCGGTCTCCTACACTGGCCAAAAATGGTTCCCACCACCACTCCTAGCCCCATCCTTACTCTCTCTCTCTCCCGTCCGTGACCCAAAGCAGGCGGCGCGCCCAGTGAGCTCAGCGACGTGCCTCCTGAGGCGCGCAGAGAGCAGCTGCACGAGTAGGTCCATGGCCGTGGTTCAGAGGAGCAGCCAGAGCAGCGCGTTGCCGGCGGCCGCGCCGGCCTGGAGGTCGCCCTCGAGGTTGATAAGCTAGGAGCATCCTAGCACCACTGAGCTGCGAGCTCACCACTCCAACCACTCTAGATCACGGGTACGGCGAGCACTGCTGCGAAATCTACCAGGAGATGAGTCTATGGAAGCATCTGGCCGCGGCCGGAGATGGCGAGGTGGAGACGGTGGTCGAGCTGCTCGCGCGTCCGGGGGATGGTGCCTCCGGCGCCGGGCGCGGCCGACGCGGCGTCGGGCACATCGAGGCGAAGAACCGTGCGGTGGATGGTCTTCTCGAGGCGCTCAACAAGGACGAGAAAAGCGTCCTCTCGGTGCTTGGTCGCGCCAATGTCGCCGCTCTGGTGCAGCTGCTCACGGCTCCGGCGACCAAGGTGCGAGAGAAAGCCGCCACGGTGATATGCCAGTTTGCGGAGTCCAGCGGCTGCGAGGGGCTACTCGTGTCAGAGGGCGCGCTGCTAGGATGCGCGGGGAGCCGCCCGCCGCCGCCTCGCGCCTCACGTTCTGGGAGCCGTCGTCGCCACCGCCATAGCCTCCTGCCTCGCGCCTCGCGCGCGCGGGGAGACGTCGCCGCCGCTGCCTCGCGTGCGCGGGGAGCCGTCGTCGCCGCCACCTCCCGCCTCGTGCGCTGGGAGCCGTCTGGCCACCGCGAGGCAGTCGAGAATCCGATGCGGGAGAGGAGGAAGAGAAAGAGAAAGAGGAGGAAGAAGAAGGAAATGGAGGCTGACATGTGGGTCACTTTTTAATTTTAGAGATGTAAATAGAGTCTCTTGGAATGAACACTTAGTTTGACTATCGAGATCAATTGGAGAGTTAACTATGTGGGTATTTAGAGAGTCTAATTTAGAGATACTGTAACATGGGCAGATTAGATATTTGGATGCTGCAAAAACGAAGAAAATATAGCATTTGGCTCAGATCTATATCAGCTTTATCTGTCATGAATTCTCAGAAGCAGAACTGGCGTTGAAAGCTAAAGGTTTGTATCATCACTGCCACTAAGAAGCAAATCTTAACAAACCAAAACGCTAAATATTTTGGAGAAAATATGATAGCTGAATGAAAGGATCATATATATCCATTCAAATTATTAAAAAAATCATATATATCGCATTCTCTCAAATTATATCCAGTTCAGATCCTTGTTAGCTGTTTTCCTTTTCTTTTCATGGGTCATTTCTCAGATCAAAACAACTCAATGCGAAGTTTCAAGACATGTCAACGATTATCATTTGTTGTTGTGATCTCTCCTTCCATGTCTCCTCCGTTCCGTTCTCCAGCAGTCCGATACAGCAAAACTTTCTGATGATGCTTGAGTTCCTCTCTGAATTCTGATCATCAGCAGAGTCTCTGAGGCTGAAGTTCCTTTGTGATGCAGAAATAAAACATCACTGTCAATCAAAAGAACCGGTCCTTAATTCGTTCATATGAACAATTGTAACATCTGAAAACAGTCCTGAATAGCTGTGGCAATGCAAGTTTCCAACTAGCTGGGAGTGCAACTGGCAACATGGTGTTCAGCTGTTCAAAGAATTAGACATTCAACATTGAGTTGCCAGTAATTGGAATTATTAAAACCGTTTGCCTCAGTAATTACTGGGATTATTAAAACGTTAGCCTCGAATCAGTGATTGAATATTCAATGCATTTCCATGAATTTCGTTGCGTCAGTTATACACGACAACTACAAAGAGCTGAATCACCTATCATCAACAAAATCTCAAAATCAAAATGGACGGTGAGTATATGCTAGAAGAATGGAACGAATTTCGTGCTGTCATTTAACTCCCATCCCACGGTTAATAGAGACGAAGCTGATGTCAACACACAATCTCCGAGCTTTTTCAGCCTCCCGGCAAATCAGAAACTTAACATGCGGAAGGATAGTTAAACTCGGCAAAAAATTATGCAAATTACTCAATGGACGAAGAAAAATCCCTGAAAATACAAAGGTACAACATGAAGGTCATCTAATCTAATGACCTCAGGTAGCCCGTTGATAACATGTGAATGCAGCAGCTACAAGTAGGTTCTTCCTGATAAACAGGAACTCGAGCCAACTACATCCTCTAAACAATGGGCAGCTCATCATAGGTAAAATTATTAGATGATGCTATTAGTTCAAACAAATGATATAATATGCTAATAGAAGAGATACAAATGATGCTAACGCAAAGGGTTATTCCTATGGGAAAAAAAGTAGAACAGCAATTGGCTCAGATCTGAATCAGCTTTATCTGTCATGAATTATCAGAAGCAGAACTGGCGTTTAAAGCTGAAAGTTTGTATCATCACTGCCGAAGAGACAAATCTACCAAATCTAAACGTAAATCTAACAAACAGAAATACCAAATTTTTAGAGGAAATACGATAGCAGAATGGAAGGCTCATATTAAGAAATTCAACCATTATTTTTTTCCCTTAACTTCACGGTTTAAATCAGAAGCGCGGGTAAATGTCAAATCACTGCCATCAGCTATCAAATCTCCCAAGGAAAAAGAGAATTAGGAAACACAAAAAAAAACATTTGATTTTTGAAATGTATCCATTACGCTGACACAGATCAATCACATGCTCGAAGCATCAAGACCTGCAACACTGAATGGTATGGTGGATCTAGCACAGGCATTGGGGCTTCCTTCTTCAGGCGATTTGAATCCGACAAGCCCGGGGTTAGCACCGTGCAAGAACACAACTCGAACAGATAAACAACAGATCACCCAAAAACAAAGAAGAAGAAACTGATCTGCACAAGAGATTGAACTGTGCGCAAGCAACAATCGTATTGCCTACTGGAGCCATGGCAACAGAAACGATTTCTTGACGCGTCGATCTATCCCCTTCTCGCAGAGATGGCTGGCACCATGGTGATATATTGGTGCCCCCACCTTAACAAGAACAAGAGAGGACGATTCAACCAAAAAGAAAAAAAACACACATGAACTTATGAACATGAAAAACCAACAAGAGCATGAGCGGAACAGAGATAAACGGAAGCACGCGAGGCGGCGGCGGCGATGGAGGCTGGCCCTTGGAACCCTAGATGGTGAGTGGGGACAGTGGGTTAGCAACGTACTTATAGCCTCCATGGCGGCGGCGAAGGGGAGGGAGCCAGGGAGAGGAAACCTAGAATCTTTGGGCTTTATGGGCCAAGTTGTTGTTTATTGGGCTTCATTTTAGACGGGGAACGATTTTGCTAAAAATCTGGCGACAAATTTTTGGCACGAAATCACTCGGATTTACTTCCCTTGTGGATTAGTCTGTGCATGATTTAATTAGCGGCTGTGATGCGTTTCCTTCCCACGCACGCATGAGGCCAGCAACATCTAGCTTGGCACATAATTGATGAGTACATACATTGCACGTCGTTGCAGCTAGGTGAAGAGATTGAAGAAATAAAATATAAAGTTACAGTCCTATATAACTAAAATTACATTCGTAAATTCAGTTGATATGACATGTAAGTGCACTATAATTTTGGTAAAAATGTTGTGTAAGTAAATATGTACTTGTTATTTCCTTTAAAATATAAAATTACAATCCTATATAACTAAAATTATATTTGTAAGTTTAGTTGATATGACATGTAAGTGCACTGTAATTACACTATAGTTACACTGTAACTATAGTGAAATTACACTGTAACTATAGTGTAATTACACTGTAACTTTTAGTAGATGGGTTGGTGATATATTTTTTTCAATGTAAAGATCTAACAAATAAAATATATGCAATATATATAATTAATATATGTTGATACATGTATAGACTCTTCTAATCAAGTGATCAAATGAGCCTAATCCAACTAATCTAAAATCTGTGTGATTTGGACCCAAAAATCTGTCGTGTGATGGATAGCTAGTCCCGACGGGGAAAAGTACTGAATTTCCTATTGCGCGCCTGCGGCAGCGAACGAAGTCGCGCGCGGTTCCGGCCCAGCCCACCACACGATTGCGCAGCGTCGCAGTGCAGGAAGGTCAGTAGGTGGGGACACACACGTTCCCACGCTTAGATAAGATTGGATTAGCGTAATCAGGTTTTGACTAATCACGATCTGAATTACGGTGACAATTCTTTTTTTCTTTTCGCATAAAGGTTGTTTCCTTTTTATTACTACAAATTTCAAAAACTTATACATAATATTTAAACTTTCAAATAAAATTTAAAACCTTCTAAAAAAAGTCATATCTAAAATTTAAAACTTTTAACTTGAAAGTTGAAAACTTTCAACTTAAAATTTAAAAGCTTTCTTCTCAAAATTTGAAACTCTCAACTCAAAATTTGAAAACTTCCAACATAAAATTCGAAATTTTCATCTCAAAATCAAAAAAATTCATATTTAAATTCAAAACTTTCAACTCAAGTTTTAAGAACTTTTAACTCAAAATTCAAAGTTTTCATCTCGAAATTTAAATACTTTCAACTTAGATTTGAAAACTTTCAAGTTAATATTAGAAAACTTTTACATTAGATTTTGAAAACTTTCAAGTCAATTTTGAAAAATTTCAAATTAGATTTTGAAAACTTTCGACTCGAATTTTTATTGTTGTATTGAGAAATTACTGTAGCACGTGATTAACTCTAATTACCGTGATTAACGCTAATCTCCGCGATTAGCGATGGGATCGCGACATGGTTCGTTCTGCAGCCGAACACGTGGAAGTGCGCGCGAGTAACTGAACCGGCGCGTACGCGCGAATTAGAAATCCCCGAAAAGTACACCCAAGGTCCCTCAACTGTCATCGAGTTACAAAATCATCCTCAAACCGTAAAACCGGAAACAACGCATCCCTCAACTTATAAATCCAGTGCAAACTAGATTCCTCGGTGGTTTTGACTCCGGTTTTGTTTGACGTGGCAGCTGACTCAGTGTGGAACCCACATGAGTCCCACATGTCAACCTCTTTTTCCCCTCCCTTCTCTACCTCTCTTCCTCTCTCTCTCTCTCTTCTTCTTTTCTCTCAGGCTCAGCAGCGCAGCCGGCGGGTGGGACTGGAGAGGAGGCCGGTGGGGGAGGCGGGAGTCCGACGGTGAGGCGGCAGCGGCGACGGCGGCTTTGGAGCAAATAAATTTTTATCGTCATCTTGCTTTATTTGTGCTATGATGAAGTGTATCTTCTTGCTTTTCTTGCAGTGTCCCGTTGTTGTTAAGGGCATCAGCGCTCTTGCATGGATGAAGGTTCAATGAAAAGATTAGAAACTGCAGTACTGACAAAAGTTCACCTGCAACGTGGTGCAATTTTCTCATTAAGATATTTTGTCCCGTGATGAAATGCATGTTTGTATGCTTGTAAATCAATTTTACCAAAGATGATGAGAACGTAAACTCACAACCATTTATGCGTTGGAGGGACCGTTTTATCTTTTGTGCCGAAGCTATTTATAAATCACAGGCCGAAACCGGTGAAATTAAGGAGCATTACTTGAATGCGACTGCAGTTCAAATCCAGCTCGGCCCAAAAATCTAGTGCTTCATGAATATGAGTTAAATCCATTTTTTTTCTTCCATAAAAAAGAATATTTGATCCATAGAAATAAAAGAAATAAAGGATAAAAAGAAAAGGGGAATTATCTTTCTAATCTATATCTCTTTCAACCCTTACAGAAGCAGTGCAGCCTTTCCTCGGGTTCGTAGAGTCGGGTTTCCCGTTTACCCACAACGGAGGAGCCGCCCCCACCAACCAAAGCAGGTAGGCGGCCACTGGCTTCTGAATCTGGTAAGCTTCTTCAGATTCCAGGTGGAGCATTATTTTTAGTGCCTTCAAAAATAGTTACTGATCTGTGCCCTGTATTTCTTTCAAGATATTGGAAAGCTTCCATCAAGCCACTACTACATCGATTTCATTAGGAATCGAGGATCTTTTAACAATACCCTCTAAGGGATGGTTAATCCAAGATGCGGAACAATAGAGTTTTCTTTTGGAAAAACACATAGCAGGTTGCGAAGTAACTTGCTACCACAAGAGGAACTCTCAAGGCCCCCTACCTTGCAGAAAAGAAAAAATAAATGAAAGAAAGGCACAGTCTATCTCCCTTCCCTTTAAAAGCTGCTTGTTGGTTGTTTGTTTCGGTGAATCTCCGGTTTAGGGAACCCTGTTGCTGAGTTCGATTCCCGCCGCTGTGCTTTTCTTTCTGTTACTTCGAAAGTTGCTGCTTCAGCTTCAGCCACGCGAATTCTCGATATTTCTTTTTATTTCTCATCAAACGAATGGCATCTTCTTCTGGAAATCCTGCCGCGAGTGGAATGACAATGAAGCGAGTCTAGAGGTACCGGCAAGTTCTCCTGTGAAAAAAAAGTGGAACTAAACAAGCTAGTGTTTTTAATATGAAAGGAACGCGGGTCATACCCGTACAAGTTCAGAAAGAAATCCTGGGAAAAGACGAGCAGATAAAATTTAAATGTATGATCATGTCAATAGTACTGTATCATTAAGGGCTGATTAACTATTTTGTTTGAAAAGTTTAGCCTAGGTTTGGTAAATTGAAATTTATATGACATGTACGAGAATTTACAGGAATATGAAAATATTTTTTGGGCCAAATATATTACAATGATATATATCATTGTTTGTTTTTTCAGGTTTTAAGACATTTGACCTTAGTTTGCTAAAATATGTATCTTTTAGCATTTGATTGTTTAATTCGCATTACTATATCACCGTAGCGTTAGCACAGGCATATTAGTGTTACTAATTACCAAGCTTCAGCAACTGGAAGCGATCATCACGCACACAAAGTCAACATCTCCAGCACTATGGAGTCTTCTGGCAAGGATACAAACGATAAGGATCACCTGTTTGAACCTCCTGAAGATGAAGATAAAAATTAAGTGTTTCACGCAAAAATAAGTTTGTAATAACGTGTGATTAATTAAGTTTTAATTATTACAAACTTGAAAATTAAATTAATCTAATATTTTAGAGCAACTTCCATATAGAAAGTTTTCCCATGAAATATACCGTTTAGCAGTTTGAAAAATGTATCACGAGTAACCAAAATTTTATCTCCTGCCAGTAGAGGAAACGAACAGGGCGGCACAGCTCGGAAGTCGCTGCTCTACTGGTACTGGTGATACGCAAAGTACCAGTTTCATCAGGTGGGTCAGTGGTTGTGTTTAAATATTCTGAAGATGAAGATTAAGTATTTCACACAAAATAAGATGGTAATAACACGTGATTAATTAAGTTTTAATTATTACAAACTTGAAAAATGGATTAATCTGATATTTTAGAACAACTTTTATATAGAAAGTTTTCGTACAAAACACACCGTTTAGTAGCTTGAAAAGTGTGCCACGAGTATCCAAAAGTTTATCCAACTTTTATTAGAGAAAGAACAGGGCCAGTCTGTGGCCTTGATAGATTTCTTTTCCTTGCTTGGTGTGGTGTGAGTGATAACCAATCCCCTTGTTCATGACTGTTCTGTATTATAGCAGTTCTCTTGAAACCAATGTGTAGCTTTCCTCGATGCATGCAAAAAATGGAGAAAAGAATATGCAAGGGGTAGTTTTCTCTTGTACATCTCACTTATAACACCTTAGTTCTTCAACTAAATAACTTATCTGCAAGTCCAATTTACATTGCAAAATGGTCGATATCCATCAACGGAAGTACCGATTGTGATCTTTTTAGCCCTTGCAAAATACTTTTTGCAGTCTCCCTTTCCTGTAAATATAGAACATACAAGTGGTAGTGAATCAGAATCATCAAAAAGAAGAGATCAAACAAATATTGATTTATTTATGAAAGAAAAACATGATATTCCAGTTCCCTCAATTAGACCCAGAGTACAGCAAACAGGCACTCTTAAAAGAACAAATCAAAGTGAATGCTTATTGAATAAGTTATAAGTCTATTTGAACTGTACGCAAACATAAGTGTTCATTAACACATTAGCCAATAAATAAGAAGTCTATTTGCTCCATTCCATCTTTTGTTATTTTCATCAGTAGGTAAAAGGAACTTTATGTAAAATTGAACTTACTGGACCGGTGTAATCCAAGAGCCTTGTGCAATAGTGCTCTGCCTCCTCAAACCTGCCTATGCTCTTACAGTGCTTAGCAAGGAAAAGCAGAGCTTCAACAAAATTCTGGCCCTGCCTTTCCTCAACTTCCATTCTCTCTAAATCCTTCTTGTAGTAAAATGCTGCCTCCTCAGATTGTCCAAGCATACCATGTAACTTTGCTAGCTGATGAAGTGCTATTCCTTCAGTGTCATTATTATTTGCAGATCTCTCATAGCACTTGATGGCTTCTTCAATCATCTGGAGTTGATCGCTTTCATAGCACTGAGCCATAGCATTCCAAAGCCGGGCATCATTAGGTTGTAGGTATGACGATTTACGGAAGTAATAAACTGCATAAAACGGCATTCCCATCATCTCATAGATCTGACCAAGACCATACCAAGCACGGTAATCTCTGGGATTTATATCAACAGCTCTCCTGTAGGCATCAATCGCAGCAGGTGTATTTTTTAGCTCAACAAACTCATGTCCCATAAGGGTCCAAGCTGAAAGATACTTTCGATTAAGCTTCAGTGCTCTTTGAAAGTACAAAACTGATTTTCATGCTGCCCCTTCAAACTGTAGTAATTTGCAATTATGCAGCATGATTCTGGGCGATATTTATCTGTCAAAAATACTCTGTGAGCAAGGAAACTTAAAGCAGTCGAGCTTTCTTTTGCATACAATAAATTTGAGTAAACGTCCATAGAATCCACACGAAAAGGATCAGTCCTAAGGAGTTCTTCAAAAATCATGTCAGCTTCATCCAGATCTCTCATACTATACTGCACAGTAGCTATTTGAGCCTGAATGTAGTCACTGCAACGGAAGACCCCCATTAAGCGCTCATATCTTTTCAAAGCTTCTTCATGCATTTTTAGTTCAAGATGTGCACTAGCAAGGAAGAAATCTTTCATCCAGTGATTCTTGAGATTTAAGTTGTTCAAAATGTCACTGCTAGTGCAGAGAGATTGTAATTCTAACCAAGCACTCCAGTTCCACGGGTAGCTGTTGACAGATTCCACCAGAACTGTTCTAGCTAGAGCTTCACTGCCTTTATCACGTAGAACAATGCCATACAAGTACAAACAAAATGAATCAATAGCACCAGTTCTCCGATGTGTTGCGAGCTCTCTCTCCAATGCAACTAGTTCCTGATTAACAGCATTGCTTTTGCCCAAAGATCCCTCAAGCTCGACTGTTTCTTCCTCTTTCCGTTTCTCTCCAGCCTAAATTGTAGAGAAAATAACTATGATCACCAAACATATCAAATTTCAAAATGCTAATTAAACTACGAAGCAAACAGGAGACAATTTCTATATTTAGAAAATTAGATAACCTGTAGAGGAAAAGATAACTCATTCATAGTATCCTTCCATGGATCGGAAGATTGCTAGCCACATTTATACGATCCAATAAGTTTAGGGCCTAGTGTATAGAGACGTAAATTGATGCAAAGATTGACACTAACTGTACATATTAACAGTGCAGCTTGCCAACTTAAATAGAAATCCAGCTAATAAAAGGACCTGCTAAAATGGAAATCAGCATGGTTCTAAATTGAATACTTCAATACTAGCCACTATTCGTTAGTGGCACACTAGCAACCAAAAGCAACATAGCCCCAAGCGCACAATTATACACTGTATTACTGTGGCGAGTCCTATACTCCTATTTTTAGCAGATCACAAATTAAATAGCAAAGAGGAAAAGATAAATCATTTATGGACCTGGATCCTCAGCCCTCCTTGTTGCATAAGGGCAATCGTGTTACTACTATAAGTTAAAACCTTATACTGCCCGTTCATCTCAATATTAGAATATAATGTTTCCAATCTTCATTACAACAGAACCACTGTATTAGTAAAATGCATTCTTGCATGCAATAAATTCGTCTAATGTTAACATTGCAGCAAACCAGCATCTACCGCTTACTATAAAAATAATCAAGCATCACTGTAATGCATAAAGGATACCAAACAACTAGGAACGAAGCAAATAAGCAGTTATGTACAATAAAGGGTTCAACATTTTTTCAGATGTCGAGACATTTACCAAATTAAGGTTTAAAGTGCCAAAAATCAGTAGTACATCATTATGGGACAAGGGGGGTAATTAAGACTCAAAAATGCTAGCATCTCCACCCCTAGGGCTTCAAAGATTAGCGCTCAGACCATGAACAAAGGGGAACATACCAAATAAAGCTACTTTTACATTTTTACAATAATTTTGATGTATTCCTATTGTTTCTTTCAGTAAGATCCCACTACTATTACTCCATTGACACGTCAAGATAACTAATCAGATGTTTCTACAGGTTGAGAAATATGAATCACTCTATAGGCGAATTGGAGCCGTAAATATTTGCAGCAGCTCCAGTGAGACATTTCCTCAAGCAGACAAGCACCAGTCGCTATACCAAACATCTGCAAACTGGAACACGCCCGCGCATTCCAAAATAATAATTAAAAAGAAAAACAATAGGATCCGAAGTCACCGTGTACAGGGCATAGCAGCGAAGGAACACGGCCTTGCGGCCGGTCTGGCCGCGCAGGACGTGCGCGGCGCGGCGGTACTCGCGGCAGTCGAATTAGGCCTTGGCGAGCAGGTACCTATCAGCCCCGACATCGAACGCGTCGTCGTCGTCGGGGATGGGAGTGCTGACGTACGAGACGCCGCCGAGCGGCGTCCCGGCCTCCCCGGCCGCGCCCGGGCGGAGGCGGCGGCGGAAGCTGGACCCGCCGCTGCGGTGGAGGTGCAGCAGGTGCCCCCCGGAGCCCGACGAGGAAGGGGTGTCCATCGCCGACGACGGGGCCGGCGTCGCGTCGGGGTCGATGCCGACGAGCAGCTCGGCCGCCCTACAGAGGAAGAGGCGGCGGCGGTTAGGGTTAGGGTTTAGAGGAGGGGTTTTAGGGGAGGGGGCGTACCTACGTACCATTTGGCGGCGGAGTAGAGGCCGCGCTCACCGAGCTGGCGGGCGGCGGCTCGGAGCTCGACGCGGTAGGCTTCCTTGGAGGAAGCCATTGGTTTGGTCGGGGAGGTTGGGGGTGGCCTCCCCGACCTTGGAGCAGATCGGCGCCGGAGGAGCGCAAGTTTTTTTTTGAACGAGGGGTAGGCGGTGGCGGCGCGAGACAGCGGCGGCGGCGCCGGACTCAGATTAGGTGGCATTGTGTAAGCACGTCACAATGTGACATTCGATGGATCTCAGCCATCCAAAAACGAATCCAACAATTGCTTTGATTGAGCCCTCCTGCAGATAAAAAAAATGAGTAAATTTCACAAAACTACATGTTTTGTGGTTCAAGTTACAGAAAACCATACACATTTTGACACTTGTCACTTAAGTACATATATTTTGGTTGTGTAGTTTCACAAAACCACACTATCGATAAATGGATTCACCTGCGAGATGACGTGGCTGTTTCACCTACGACGAGGACATGACATCCTATTACCAGCCATCGCACGAAAAATTAATAGTATACCACGTCGATGGAACAACCATGTCATATCACCGGTGAATCCATTCATCGATAGTGTGGTTTTATGAAACTAAACTACCAAAATATATGTACTTAAGTGCTAAGTGTCAAAATATGTGTGGTTTTCTACAATTTGAATAGTTTTGTGAAATTTACTCAAAAAAAAATAGTAAATTACACATATGACCATATCTTTTTGCCCATGTTGCAATCTGGACTAGGGCTAAACAAACATTTTCACTTTAGGCTAGGTTTATTTGCAAACTGTTTTTAATTGCACCTGTTCTTCTCCTCTAGTTTTCCAATCTGTTTCTCCTCTCTTTCCTCTCCAAGAATAAGGCAGATCCAGCGTTGTGCCTCTTTTTTCTTTCTGGGAGCCAAACAAATATGAGCAGAGTGGCCATGCGTAGGACCAAACGAGCTCGAGCTATGTCCCTGCCCATGAATCCATGTGTTCTACTTGTTGGTTGGCTCATTACTGATAGGAAAAATGAGATAGGGATTTCTCCATGCTCAGATCACTCATTGGTGGTGAAGTGACGTCCTTTCTAAGCTCAAGATCTCCACCCCGCGCAAGCTTTGAACAGTTGAGCTCCGACACCTGTGCCGTCTCGAGCTCAACCATTGTCCCTTCTCTGCTACCTTGAGCTTGGCATGGTGACTGGTGAGAGGAGGGATGGGGAAGAAAAGTACCTCACTGGCGTGGGAAAGGAATGAGGCTGGCAGGCAGCATTCTCTGGATCAGGTTCAAGAAGAACCGAGGTGGAAGGAGCTATTGGTTACTGATCATGTAGGTACACTAGTCCAAAGTGCAAACTCTGGTAAGAAAACATGGTGTAATGTGAAAACATTTGCTATTACCTTGTCCAATACGCAACTCGGGTAATAAAAACTGGTCCGAAGTGCAATTCACTCAAAAAAAAAAAAATCCCCAATCCATCCATCCCGGCGGAAGACGGCGCCCCAATCCATCCATCCCGCGCGCTTCGCTGCTCTCGTTCGCCCGCCGCCGCGAGCTGGGAGGCTCGCCGCCGCTGGGGAAGGGACCGGGCAGCCGCCGCACGAGACCGGGGTCGGGGCCCTGGCGTGCCGCCACAGCCGGAGGCGGTGATGACGCGCTGGTTGTCCGTGCTGCTATGAAGCGAGGATGCCATTGTCCTTGTGAACAACTCATGAAAAAGAAGCATCTGAAGATCCTGGCGTTGGCAGAGTACATAGTTTGAGATGTTTACACACTTGCAATCTACTTGTTAGTTCTGCAGAATGAAATGGACATGGTGCTGTCCCAAGAGTATTCCGCCGTTGTTTATATCAATTCTGTTTGCAACAATGTACCCTCAAAAGATTACATGAGCTGATAGACAAATCAGATTATGTACTAGTACTATTTAACCTCTGTAGTATTGCATTCCATTCAGATGGAAACGCATACATTGCTTATGTTCTCTTGTTAAACCTGAAACTGCAACTGAACTCCTGTGTTTTCTGATCTCAAAGTGTTTCAGTTCATGTGTTACATTTTCATGATGTCATCATGCCATCCTATTCCTACCATTTTCATGCTGGGACTTGAAGAAGTTATAAAGCTTCATTAACACCTTGTTCTCTCTTTGCTTCTGATTTCACCTTAATCTTCCAATCAAATATGAGTATTTACTCTGTACATTAACTGCACATGAGCTGATATCTGTTTGTCCATGATCTTTGTCTTGGAAGAAGCATGCAGAGTTTCTGTGATGTTATTTTCTAAAAAAATTGACAGCATGCCCCCATAAATGATGAATGGAGATATGAAAAATTGCAATATAGAAACTTGAAACTTGGAGCATTCAGACAACACAGAAAACTTGGAAACAGCCATCATCATCAAGTGGAAGGGCCCCGGCTGCGGTGGCACGGCAGGGCCCCAGCGAGTCACGGCGGCGGACGCCCGGACCCCTCCCCACTCGCGGCGAGCCCGGCGAGGCACGGCGGCGGACGCTTGGACACCTCCCCACTCGCTGCGTGTCACGGTGGCGGTGCGCCTCCCAGCTCGCGGCGGCGGGCGGACGAGAGCAGCGAAGCGCGCGGGATGGATGGATGGATTGGGGCGCCGTCTCCCACTGGGATGGATGGATTGGGGATTTTTTTTTTTGACCTGCAGGCAGGCCCAATCAAAGCAGTCATTGGATTCATTTTGGATGGCTGAGATCCACCGAATGTCACATTGCGACATGCTTACACAATGTCACATAATCTGAGTCCGGGGAGGGAGGGGATGCAGGCGACGGCGGCTAGGGTTTAGGGTTAGGGCGTGTAATTTTGCGAAAAAGCCCCTCGTATGTTAAGTTTTACAGCGCAGTTCTAATTTGTGCCTTTTCTCTTCTTTCCATGCAATATCTGGATTTACAAAGGGCTTAAACGTAAAAAAACACCTTACGGGTACTGTTTGTGAGGGCCTCGATAGAATCTATTATATTATTAAAGGAATAGAAAAAGAAGCCTCCACGTTCGCTCTCATTGTCAGGGTTATGGGAAAGGTATACCCTCTACCCTTCGATATACGTCACATATCGACATGGTATGCTTGCGCGTATGTGGACGTTTTCGGCATAGGTTGGGGAAATCCATTATGGAGTTCACAGATGTAAGGAGTCCTACTCGGATAGAACTGGGTCGTCATTGTATCGTATCGGGTCCGATGTCTCGAGTCCTACTTGGAGACCAGTTGACCTATGGTATAAAAGGGACCCCCCGGGAGGACCTAAGAGATCGAATCTCAGAGCCAACGCATCACCACAGCCTACGAAGTCGGAGCTTATCGGAGCCAAGTCGCCGGGAGATCTAGTCGGATCGACTCGACTACGATCTCGTCGGTATCGTCAAGTTCTACTATTCCCTTTGTAATCTGTGGTTTCCATCATATAATCCAATATTAACTGGATTAGGGCTATTACCTACCAAGGGGCCTGAGCCAGTATAATCCCTGTTTCCTGTTTGCTTGATGTCGTACTACGTAGATCCTCGTACTAGCGTACCCCAATACCCTCTATATCCGGTCTACGGATATCCCTCGTCGACAGTGGCACGCTAGGTAGGGGGACTTGGTGCTCAAGGTTCTACTACTATGACATCCAGCTTCGTCGACAACAACGTCAACACCAACCTCAACCAAGTAGTTCCTACTTCAACAACACTGGTGTGGACTCAAGTCGGCGAAATCGCCTTTCCTGTTTACACCACTATGCCGATCTCAGCTGGTCCGCCAATGGCCGGAAACGAGAAAGCAGTGGCTACAACCCGGGGCAACTCCATGTCGAAGGATCCTCCCGCCGAAGCGGAGATCGGAACGTCGACGACATCCGAGCCCGAGAAGGATCCTAGTGCGGCCAAGCCTTGTCTTTCCGACAGGAATCACGAGCCGACGAGGATTACTTCCGAGGTGACAAGGTCCTGGTGTCCTATCCACAAAACCAGGAAACACACCCTGCAAGCCTGCTGGGTCTTTCTCAACGTCTATGCTGAAATTCGTGCCTACAAAGAGCGTGGAATTCAGCGTACCTCTCCAACTCGTGATGTCTATTGTCCTATTCCCAAGACAAAGAATCACGACCTCTTGAGCTGCAAGGTCTTTCTCCGCCATGAAGGCGCCACCTCCTAAGGTCCAGCAGTCACACATCCCCATCATGGATAAAGACAAGGAACAAGGAGCGACGCCGATTTCAGATCGATTTGTTGGGGTAATCGACATCGATCCCCACGAACCATCAGTCTTGCATCTGCTCGAAGACTATGGATCATCGACAACAAGTACGCCGCGTGAGGTATTGGCTATCGACGATGTCGGCACGTCAGTGCGCACCAATGCGGAAGCGGAGAATCAAGTGACTACTCCGGCCCAGCACATCAGAGCCGTCAACGCAATACTGAGGGAAACCCCCTACGATCCCGTTCTGAACAATGATCTTGCACGTTGGACAGAACGACTACGGGAATCAGTGACCAACCTCAGTAACGCGTTCGAAGAGGCCGCTATTGCAGCGCATCCGGAACAGCCACCAACTGGCGATGCTAATGGTGAAGACCCTGAACGGCGGGAATCGCCTCATCGAGCGACCCCTCCACCTCGCGGCACCGGCGATTTCCGTGATCACCTGAATGGCCACTGAGAGGCACGACGCACACGAGACAATGAGAACCGTTCGCGGCGTCATATCTCTTCACGGCGTCACGATAATGAAGATCGAGGAGGCCGTTCAAGCGAAGACCGAGACCGTGATAACCGCCACAACCGCCACGATCACGACGATCGCGAGCGGCAGGTGCTGGGCGGTACTGGTCGAGGACGTCGCCATAATGACGACGATGATGGAGATCGGCGCCGAGACAACAACGGGAGACAACGACAGGATTCTCGAGAGCCCGGCCGACGTCCTCGTAATTATACGCCGGAACCAAGCGACCCATCGTCATCGTCATCATCCTCGTCATCTTCATCATCAGATAGACATCCACGAAGAACGTATGATCGCCGACAACCCACCGCCCCCAGCGCTGGGTGTAGAGCTTTCGGTCGTTCACTTTGGGATGTCCGATGGCCTGAAAGATTCCGACCTAGAGCAATAGAGAAATATGATGGGAGCACCGACCCAGAAGAGTTCCTTCAGGTTTGCTCCACGGTACTCTACGCTGCCGGAGCGGACGACAATGCGTTGGCGAATTACTTGCCAACCGCATTGAAAGGCTCT